AATCATGATGATATATGGTATATGATATAAATAGTGCTTGAATCTTCACATTTAATTAATGTTTGAGACGTAAGCTCTGTTCCTGACTTAAACCATGTTATAGCCAATGCTTATGCTACGATTTATTAACAGATCGTTTTAAAACACGAGCAGGACATCATAACGACTTACAATAAAAAAACTGTGCACTATTATGATAGTAGAAATGAAAAGACATATCCTATCCTGCTAAAATTAAATCAAACGAATAAATCCCGATCGAATTAAATCAAACAAATAAATCTTTCGATCGTAGTTTTCATCACGTAAGGTTTCATAAATTTCATAGGATGAGATATAAAATCGCTTGAATATTTTTCTAATTGTAACCTGTTCTATTGTGTTGATACGAGAAGAGACGATCGTATCCATCTTTAGTAAATGTAGATGTCACGTCGGTATCAACTAATGATTGGACGCTGCCAATATATGCAGTTGTGAGAGAAAGAAAAGAGAAACGAAAATGCAGAAATTGTACAGCAAAAAAACAAAGCAATAAAAATGTATTTTTCTATTACTATGATTAGCATTGTTAACACAACAAAATGATTAGATTGATTTTGTGATTAGATTGATTTTGACAGTATCAAGTAGGTGACTTTTGTAATCAGTCTTGTCTTTTCTGAGCGTGGGGTTTGTTTACTTCTATGCGTTTAAATTGATGCTTTGGAGTTTGTACGCTATATTGCTTAAATCTGGAAGGTGTCCTGTCAATATTCTGAAGTCTACACGTAAGCTAGAAAGGCTATGTAAAAAGAGCTTAAGTTAAAACAGAGATATTAATAACTAGACAATTGTTTGATCTACAGTAACTAAGGAGAATATAACTAAAACTTGCTAATTCTGACGGGCTTTCACCAAAACTGTCAGTAAATCTTATTTTTTTGGTAACAAGTTATACATTTTCTGAAAATGTACACTTTAGGCTTGGTGATGATGACATGTTGGAGTTTGAAAAATGATTTTCTACCAGAAAATCAAATAGGGGGAAGCTGATCTTAAGTCAGTGCTTAAAAACAATACACTACAACTAAGGCAACGTTCACTCAAGTCTATACTTAAGCTTATGAACACGGCAAAACATTTAGCAGAGAAGTACTTCTACATAAGTTCGCTGACTTCATACATAACTAAAAGCCGAGAAGATTTGACCATTGGCATCGTGTAACAACATCAACTCTATTTAAAAGGCTCCACTTACTCTTGTAAATTGGAGCGTTTTAGAAAGTATCAAGATAGCGAGTGCCAATCTTATCTAAAGCTTTCAAGCGTTTCTCATCTGAAAAGAGCGTGCTTCCTTGATGCTTAATTTTTTGTCATTCATTGCTTTCATTGTCTTGTTTGTTTGTTACAGCTATGTCAAACAAATTTATAGCCAATAAATTGATGATTATATAGATTATTATAATTTCTTGGATGTTTTATTAAGGTAAGCGAGTATTTTGGGATTAGTTTCGCTCGTAACTGCCTTTTTCTCACAATGTACCTTTTTGCAAGTTTTTCTAGCTAACTATTTATATATTGCATGACTACATGTGAAACTAGTTTACGACATCAACATGTTATGTGTGTAGTCATGCAATAAAAATAAATTGACAGTCTATATTTAAGAATCATTCGTTGATCATAATTTGCGCTGAAACGATAAAGATCAATAGTTGTGCTCAATACAAGTCTCTTATGAAAATCATAGCTTTGTTTTTCAGTCATTCATCTAACATAAGTAAATTATGTGATTGTTTTGTAGCAGATGCTGAGAAAAAATGGCTTATGTTTCATCCATAATTATGGTTATAGTTAGATGAAAGATAATTGCATTCTTTGGTTTTCTGACTGGTGATAATTTTTTCTATATATTTTCCTCTTTTTTGGTTACTTTATATCGTTTTGTTTTTGTGTGCAAAAGAAACAACAAACAGTTGTTGATTTTTGTGATAATAAAGAGTTTCACAACAAGTTGATAACTAGCCAAAACTAAATTACTAATTTCGTTGAAGATCAAATGAACTGAATATTGCTCAGATGCCTAGTCATCATTATACTTCTGTTTATTCTATCTGCTTTTAAAAATAACACATTTTTCTATTTATATTATACTCCATTGAACACAGTCGGACATTACATACTAAGGTTATTATCTTTTTAATTACAAAAGCATACGTGTGTGTGTGTGTGTGTTCAGCTATTATTATTATTATTGTTACATTTTATGTAACAATTTGAGTAAAGATTAGTTTGCTTTTTCTTTCTGTTTTATGATGAAAGAATAAATGGTCTCTATTCTGTTATCTTTATGACAACTGATTGACTAGTACGAGGTTTTATACAAATAATTATTACGAAACAAAATGTTTGTCAATTAACATATTTACTATTAGATACCATGATATCTCATTGCTTTTCATCTTCTAATAATTCTTTTTACTTTCTAAATGTGTTTGCTAAGACATACGTCTTCTATACAATTAATATTACTAATTCATCTGTGTATATGGCATGTGTCTTTAAAAATATATAATTTTAATAAATTTTGCAATCAAAAAAATGTGTACGTATCGATCTAATCATTCTTCTTTTAGAATACAAATTATCAAAGATCTATGATTGTGTTTTGAGAGCGAAAAGATGAAATTTTCAATATTTCTCTATTCGTTTATATCCAGTGTAGTTTTTAACATTTTTTCTCTTGAATTTTTGTACATTGTTGTATTTAACGGTATATTAATTTTGTTATGTATTTGCTTTCGATTTTGATTTGTAGTTTTGTATTATCAGACTATTTGATAGGCCTATTGCCATTAATGTGTTGACATGCTCATATATTCAGAATGACGAATGTTTTTAAGAAGATGTCAATATATGTGTACGATGGATATTAGATCAATGACACAATGTCATTTCCACATTTCTACAATAGGTGATACTATAGAGAATAGTTGTCAAGGTTAACTTTAGAAAAACGTGAATATTAGACCAATAAGTTTTAAAGAACTAGAAATAAAGTCGTAATTATTGCTCTAAAAGTTTTTAGATTTAGAAAGTGTTTTTTATCGATTTTAAATTTAATTATACTTATTAATGGCTCGAACCACTTCTAAACGTTTGTTACAATTAAGAATTGTTAAAGGATACTATTTGTTTATTTAATAGTAACGATCTCACACTGGCAAGATCTTATGAAAATATTGCACATATTTCTTTCGTATCATTTTTATTTGTTTATTTATCTTTTATTTTTGTCTTTTATGCCGAGTATATCATACACGCATATAAAACAAAGTTAATCATCGGGTATTTGTGCCTTACTCTTAAACATACACGTATATATATATATATAATGTACAAATAATTTTTCATTAACATACACTTAATTGTACTATTCTTTTATCTTTATCGTTGTACACTTTTTTGTGTATAATATTCTACGGTTTTTATCAGAAAGATTTTCTTCGAATCCTGAGGTATGGAAAACTCGAACGTGTATTTAGTCTGTTTTAGATGTGATTTAATGAAACAGAGATACAGATATTGTCTCTCTGACATAATCATGCATTTATTTATTCTTCTTCGGGAAAAATTGTTTCAAAAATAGTTATTTTCATCAAATTAGTTGCATACTCGATGGTTGTCGGTCTATTTCGAGCATTCGTCTCTCTGTGTTTTGCTTTTTTTCTATTTTATTTTGTTATTCTTGCCCAATTTATGCACACATCTGTAATGTTCTTCCTGTCGACATGTTGTTGATTTATGATCAAGAAGTCGATGGTCTTTTTGTATTTACCAGATCCATCACTTATTATTATTGCACAATCATCTTGCTTTAAATGAAAATTAGCTCCAACGACTAAGTCAGTAGTAAATTGTCAGAAATAAATGGGTCTTTGTATTGTACGGAAGAGCATTGTTTTTTTACTAATTTAACTCTCCGTTTTCACTAAGTCATCCACTTTGTAATAGTCTAAATATCAAATTCTGATCGAACGAAGTTTAATCTAGTTCAAATTAAACTAATACACATATTTTTCTGTTTTATATCATAGTACTCTTACTAAGTTGATAGTCAGCCAAGTCTTACCTGAAATGAGATGAATGGATGGGTACATTCCTAGAAAGTTCTATGAACTTTAAACTTGTAATACTTTTGCCTGCATTTCTACTCTGATTTTGTCTTGCAAAAAGTTTATGTTTATGTTTATCCTTGACACCTATCGTGATTGAATATTCTTTAATAACATTGAGAAGGTTAACATATTACATTATATCCGACTACAAACAGTCACGTCCACTTCTTTTCCTTTTTTCTATTTATTGTAGTTGTACAAATTATATTCTGTAGAAAAAAGTGAATTAAAGAACTCTCTGATGAAAAGGATGACGTTTGAAAGAAAAATTACTATATCGATAAATCAAACTCATGGTTAACATAACATAAAAATAATGAGAATAGGGATTTTTTTTTTTTTTTGTTTGGTAATAACAATCGAGTGATGGACGAAACACTTTATGTCTCATTATGAAATAAAACTGTACATCATAGTGTCAAATTGACGAAAGACCAATTGTAACTATTTTCTTTTTTTCCTTTTCTATTTGTATTAGCCTGTAATGCGTGTAGAATAATATGATTTCTGATCAGATTTGTGCCAATGTACGATTTATGTTACTCTATTTATTTGACAATAGAAATTCCACAGAGAATTATCAAAAAAAAATTTATTTTGTTTTACATCATTGGATGATTACTTGCTAAATAAAAAAATTTTCATTATTTCAAAACATAAGTATATTGAATATTGTTAGTTTAAAAAAATATTATTAAATTAATATTTCCAAGACATATAGTTCACTTTGTTTTCTCTTATTAGAAAGTAAAAAATAAGTCGAAAATCATTATAATTAGAAAAATTATTTTGAAAATCACTTTTATTTTGTTTTTTATCTTATTTATAGATAATAAAGAGATGGTGATAATTAAAGTAGATGATTTTGAAAATTATTATGAAATTTCGGATGATCTAGGTAGTGGTCAATTTGCTGTTGTTAAACGTGTTAAAGAACTAAGTTCAGGTATTGATTATGCTGCAAAATTTGTTCGAAAAAAACGTTGTATTGCCGGTAAACGTGGTCTTAAACGAGAAGAAATATTACGTGAAGCTGACATATTATCTCAATTAAATCATCGAAATATTATTACATTACATGATGTCTTTGAAAATAAACATGAAATTATATTAGTTCTCGAACTGTAAATATTGTCATATATTATAGTTCTCATTACTAAAGATATATTTTTATTTATTTCAGAGTTGGTGCCGGTGAATTATTTCATTATATAGCTGAAAAAGATGCATTAACAGAAGAAGAAGCCGTTTTGTTTATATTACAAATATTAGAAGGTGTTCATCATATGCATGAAAAACATATTGTTCATCTTGATTTGAAAGTATGATCTTATTCTAAGAACATAATAATAAATTTATCATTAATACTATGTATTTAGCCTGAAAATGTCATGTTATTAGAAAAGAATAAAACACATCTAAAAATAATTGATTTTGGAATTTCAAGACAATTGAAGCCTAATGAACCAACCAAAGAAACATTTGGAACACCAGAATTTGTTGGTAAATAAAATAATTATTAGTGAATGATTCATGAAACTTATAGACATTTTGATCTTTATCTTCCTTTTTGAAAAATACCCTTTACAGTTAATATTAGATTCATTTCTCTCTTTATTGATATTATTTTATTCTATATTATTGAACGTAATCATATTGTATCTCTTTTTCTAGCACCAGAAGTAATCGCATTTGAACCACTCACATTAGCTACAGATATGTGGAGTATTGGAGTAATAACCTATATCTTGTAAGTTACTATTTAAATTTCTTTCTTTAATTTAAACTAATTTTATTAAAACAACAAATTGAGCGTTATATGTTGTGGAAAATTTATTTCTTTATTATACTACTTGTTTTAGATTGAGTGGAGCATCACCATTTCTAGGTAATACCAATCAAGAAACATTTACCAATATTAGTCAAGTTGATTATCGTTTTGATGAAGAATTTTTTTCACATACCAGTGATTTGGCCAAAGATTTTATTCAACGTCTATTTATTAAAAATCCTAGGTTTGTTATTACATGTCATTTTAGCGTCTGTGGCGTCCTGCATAAAGTTGTTCTCAACGTTGAAAAAGTTCTCATCAAATATTTAATTCTCAGGTTAAAATTTCATGTTTTTCTGTAGTAGAATTTTGAACTTATTCGTGAATTTCTGACTGTATTTACTTTTGAAAGAATACAAGGCTAACGCTACTTTATCAATTATGTCCCATGAGCTCATTTTTCTTTGTATACTATGAAAGTGCGAAAGTCTCATTCGAAAGACAATGGCTTTCTTCTACCAATGCACAAGAAAAAAATGTTTAACTTAAATATTAATATCATAGGAAGTTTTTCATTCGGGAGCGTCAACAAGCCTGTGCAGGACTCTACTCTTTTCTGTATGTCTAAATTCTAGTAATTTCAATGTTCACTTCTCTCTACAGGTATTTTCTTGTCGAAATATACGACATAGCGTAGTTAATTTTGTGTTTTTTACTGAACTAAAAACAAAAAAAATGGTGTAATGCTAAAAGTTAGTGTTACAAAGAGCATGTTCAACATTAGTAACTAATGGAAACGGATGAATTTATGAGTAGATTAAATGAAACCATGGGGGAGGAGAATATAGTAAATATCTTTAAAAATATATTTATATTTTTATATGTTTTTCATTTAGAGAACGAGCCACAGTTGAAGACTGTCTAAATCATCCGTGGATCAAAGTAAGTTAATGTTTTAATCATTTATCAGTTTAATCAGTGAAATTCTGAATGATCATTGTTACATCGTGTAACATTTAAAAGTGTTTATGTCTTATAAATCTTGTTATTGTTTTTTATTATTTAGCCTCGTCGTAAACAAGATGAAGAAGAACGTCGTCATGCTCAAATAAATATGCCGAGTTTTAAATCATTTATTGCTCGTCGTCGATGGAAGGTACAAATGCATTGTGAATCTCGTATTTTGCGTACAGTAACAACTAAGTATACAGATAGAGATGGAAATGTTAAGTCTAAAAAATGTAGTGAAAGAAAAGGAAAAACAGCTATCTATGAAGGACAATATTCTGAAACAGATTCAGAAGATGAAGGAACTATTGAACAAACAGTTTTAAATAAACAGAGTACTAATGAGCAACAACAAGCTAATGGAAATGATCGAATACGATGTTGTCCACAAAATATTGAATTAAGACAAGTAAAATCAAGTGAATTTGCCGAATCATTTCAAGAAGATGAAGAAGGAGAAGATGATTATCATAGTAAAGCTGAACAAAAATCTAAACCATCTCCAACAACACTAATCAAACCATTACCTAATGAACAAGTAGTGAGTGATCAACATTCACGTGCACAAACAAATGATTGTAAAATAATTGAATCAATCGATGAACAAACGGGTGAAAATGTTCGTCATACAATACAAAATAAAGTTCAAAGAGATGAAAATTTAAAAATGTCAAAATCAGACGATGTACAGTATGAAGAAACAGATGAAGGCCTACTGAAAAAGGTGACCATAAAAACGAGAAAAGTGAAAAAAATTATTAAAACGACGACCTCTTCAAAACAAAAAGATGTACAAAAGGGTAAAATCAATGGCCATGTTATCTAAATGTCAAGCATGAACGTTTGACATGTTGTTTTATGCATGGATATTTAGTAAAATAAGTAAAAAATAATTAGTAACAACCCCAAATGCATGTCTAATGTTTATTTTCTGTGTCGTGTTTACAGATTTAGTAATTTAAGCATACTTTTTATGCATGGATTTGTTTGATGTCGATTTAAGTCTACCCTTTTTTTTCTCATTTAAAGACAAGTTCTTAGTTGATTGTTAAAATCTTAAGCTGTGTTTCCCTTTTGCATTAACTATGAGAATGCCTGATCTCTATTTTGATTTACGTTTGTTTATTTAGAGGTGTGTCAAGGCGATCAGCCTTTGTAACAAAATATTTCGTCAATCACAAATGAGATTATCATCCGCCCTTAGTTTAGATGCATTAGATTCAACATTTTCTCCTAATCGAACGTGTGCAGAAGTATAAAAATAGAATTCTTTATCTTTACGTTTGTTTTGAATCTGTTAATGTATTGATTTTAGAACGATGATGATTTTGTTCTAACAGCTCTATTGTGTGCAGCAGAAGATGGCGATTTTGTAAATATTAAAAAATTATGTAATATAGCAACAATAGACATTAATAAAGAAAATAAGGTATGTAAAAAACAGAAGAACTAAAGATATCAAGAGAAATTAGAATATTATTGTTATTTTAGCATGGTGAAACAGCTTTGCATTTTGCATGTGGAAGTGGCCATTTTGATATAGTCAAATTTCTATGTGACAGAAAAGCAAATCTCTTCGTTGTTGATGGAGTAAGTTTAAACACATCAGCACAAAAAATATTCCTAGATGTACAAATATGATTAATTATCCATTTACGACCATTTTGAACGCGTTTTTCACAAATACAAACCTTTAATTTGGGGACATAGTAAACATTTTCTACCAGACAGGCGGACATAAATTTTTTATCATCAGCTATTGTTTTTGACTTAGAATGATTTTGTAGACAATATTTCAGAAAATGGTCAAGAACTACATCATTCGATGCAGTTTCGCATACTGAGTCCGAATATTACCTTATCATTTACCGGAAACATTCCTGAGTCGAAAAAACAGGATTTGACAATTTTATACCGCGGTCCACGAACAAAACCGCATTTTACTTTACTCACCGTATATTCAGTGTGTATAAATGAACATTTTAGTAGGATTTTGAATAGAATTGAAGTTTGGGGAAAGTTTAGAAAACTCATTACGCTGCTCACAGATCTAAGGAAACGTAGTTGACGTTGAAAATAAGTCTTTTTCTCCGAAGCTGTAAATCCAAACTGAGAAATTTTTTCACTTATATATCTTCGGAGGAGTCAAGATTCATAATCTAAATAATTTTTACTTATAACTCGATTGGATTGAATACAAAAGTTTCTTGTCATATAATACCGTGTTTACGTCCTCATTTTTTAACCAAGTATTTTCTCATGATCCATGACAACTAGAACAAAACTTCTTCCGGCAACAGTTAGCCCATTTCTCACAGTTTATTCTCCCCTGGTTCAATACAGAAAAGGTGCACTTTCGATTTCTGACCAAATGTCCGCCTCGATGCACGCATGTGGGGGAGGAGAACATCAGGTTTGGGTTATCAATGCAGGTCCCTATTAACCGACTACTCTAAGTTGATTTGTCTCATCGTCACCACTAATTATTTGTACATGGGATATAAACGCATCTCAAGCATATGATGACCTTTGGGTTTTGTATTTAGTATGGAAATAATGGTGTTTATTGGGCAGCTCGTCAAGGCTATGTACAAATCATAACTTTTCTTTATGAAAAAGGCGTGCCAATTGATTTACCAAACAGAGTAAGAAATCTAAAGTGAATATTTTTTTTCTCACATTTATACTTGTTTTTTTTTCAACATTAGACTAATGAAACAAGTCTTCATATTTCATCAAGATACGGACATGCGCATGTCGTTGAGTATTTATGTAAATTAGGTGCCAATGTTGACGCACAAGAAGATGTAAGTTTGGTATTTTTGTGTATGACAGTGAATGTGATTGTTTACTGCTTATTTCACTTTTATTTTGTTGTTGGTTTTATTAGGAACATGAAACACCGCTAATGTGTGCGACATGGCACGGTTATCCGCGAATTGTTCGAATACTGTGTAATGCTGGTTGTGATATTAATCTACGAAATAAAGTGTGTTTTTGCTTTTTCTTTATTTGTGTGAAAAATAATATTTTATGGGAAGACTAGTGAGGATATATTCACAAAATGTTTTCGTTGTGTCACATGCAAAGCACGGATATTGTATGTTCTCTAATCTTTGCTATTTCAGTCAATAAATAGATAAATAGTTTTTGATGATAGATATCTGTGGGTAATTATTGAAAAAGCGCTATATTTCTTTACAAAAAGCAAATATTTGCTAATTTTGCATTTAAATTGTTTTTATTTATCTCAATAGATGTTTTTCATTTACTTTTAAGACAAAACTTTACTGACAGAAATTTTTTAGCAAAAATTTATTAATTTCTTGTTTGTTTTGTTTATTAGCTTTTCTTTCCAATGAGTTTGATTTAAAATTAGACTATTTTTTCGATTTTATGTGAGTGTATGTGTGTTCATGCTGCATACATATAAAATGTCCATTTGAGTTGAGGTAGACACAGGATTGTAAAATATGTTAGACAGTTGGTTATAAACCATAAAAATTCACCTGTCCTGACGTGTAGATTTGAGAATGAGTTTGGATCTAATGTTTGCGTTGATGACATATGATATGGTGTAATTTCTATTTTAAGGAAGGCGAAACCGGTTTGATTTTGGCTGCTGCAAGAGGCAATGAAGATATTGTTCGTATTCTCATTGATAATAAAGCTAATCTCAATATTAGAGATAAAGTACGTAAAACTCTCGAATTTAAATTAAAAAAATAATTAATGAATGATTTATTTATTTTTAGCGCAGTTTGGCAGCAATACATTGGGCATGTAAAAGACAACACATCGCAATTGCAATTATGTTAATTAATGCCGATTGTAATATGAATATTCTTGATATGGTAAACACTCGTACCAAGACTAATTCAGCAAAAACAAAAAAAAAAACGATTTTTCAATAAAAACTGATAATAGTATTATTTTTTTCTTTGCTTTATTTAGTTTATCTTTATGTTTAGTTTAATGAAACACCATTACATTATGCAAGTCGAGAAGGTTTATTAACTGTTGTACAAACATTATGTGCTTTTGGATGTCATATTGGTATTAGAAATAAAAGTGATTCAACAGGTATATATAACTAAATCAATCTTAAAAACTGAAATTAATTAGTGATTTTGTATTTAATAGCTTTGCATTTGGCCGCTCGTCTTGGACATACAGAAATTGTTAGATGTTTATGTTTAGCTGGATTAAACTTAACTATTCAGGATAAAGTTTGTATTAAAAAGACTTACATTTTTTATTAAACTTATGTATTTATTACATTTAGGATGGACGAACAGCTGCACAAATAGCCGAAATTAATGGAAAATCAGATATTGTCAATTTACTAAAATCATTGAGTATGGTAAGTTTTGAAATTACAAAATATCATTCAATTCATCTTGAATCATAGAAAATATTGATTATCAAAGAATAATGTTAATATTTTTTATCGTAGCAAGATAATCGTCAAATGTTTATCGAACAATTAGTGCCAACAAAGGAACCATTGAGACGAATTAAATTAAAAGTATTTGGAAACAGTGATGCTGGTATGTACATGTTTCTAGAATATTGCCATTTATTTCATACATATATATATATATTCATTATAGGTAAAACGACTCTTATTGAATCATTACAGTGTTCCTATATAAACAGCTTTTTTCGACGTAGTCGATTAGGTAGCTCCAAGAAACCGCTTCGTAAATATCCTATGATTTGTATTCAGTTCTTGTTTGTTTTTAATAAAAAATCTATTCTTTCAGCAGTATTATCAAATAGAAATTCTATGCCAGCTGACGAACTATCTCGTACACCCGATCTAACAATAAAACTACCAAATGAAAATTCATCGAAAGGCATTAGTGTTTATCAAGTGCCATTTACCGGTAAGTTCATCCTTAAATGTAAAAGAATAAAATAAAAAAAAGAGTAATTGTTCCATGATAGGTGGAGGTCAATGGTCTGTATGGGATTTTGTAAGTATATATTAGTTGATATTGATTGAGTTCTAGAAGTTGTAGTTACTGTTATAGTCTGGTATGGCAGTATATCGTACAATCTATGATCACTTTATTGGTGATCACAATTGTTTACACATGATCGTATTCGACATTACTGATGATGAAAATAAATGTGTACAAAATTTAACATATTGGTTGGAATTTTTAAGAGTACGAATTCTTATAAGAGAACCAATTGGTAAAATTCTACTTTTTTTTTTTTTACTATGTATTTATTCTATTCACCTATTCTATGAATTCTATTTAGGATTAAATGGTCAAAGTTCAGAAATGGTTAAAATAATTCTCGTTGGTACTCATGCCGATCAAATATTAAATTGTCCAAAAGATGAAAATGGTGATTATGTTTGTGAAAAAGCCACGATTGTATTTAATCGTATAAAAGATAATTATCAATATGATTTTGATTTTCATGATAAACTATATTTACTGGATGCTCGATCAGCTTGGACATCAAATATAAAAAATGTAATACAATGTTTCAATTCTTATAAAGATAAAATATGTGAAGTATGTATAAATAATATTTGATATAAAATATTTAATAATAATTATTGTTATGTTATTGTTTTTTTATTAAAGAAATTAAAACCATCGACTATGTTTTTAAATCGTTGTACATATCATTTACAACAATGGCGTAAAACTTATGCTTCATTTCCTGTTATGTCATGGTCAAGATTCGTTGAAAATATTCGAACAGAATTAAATCCATTAGCAAGCGATGAACATATGAAAGAACTTGTTCAACAATTACAACTTATGGGAGAAGTGCGATATATTTAATAATACTTCTTTAAAACTTTATTATGTTTTTTTTTTTATTAATGTTTTTAGATTCTATATCTTGAAGGCGATCCTCATCAAGATTTGGTTTGTTTTGATCCTCATTGGTTATGTCATACAATTCTTGGTAAATTATTAACATCAAATTACGATATTAAAAAAAATATTCTAAATAATATTAATAAAGTAAAATCAAAACAACAACGTTTTTTAAGTGGTACATATTCTATCAATGATATTCAAACACTATTTCCAGATACAGATGCTCTTGATTTACTACAAATATTTTGTGCATTTGATTTATGTGTTCAATATGATGTTTACGGTGATATTGAATATGAATTTCCACAATTAAATTCGGTTGATATTATACCAGGTCTCTGGGAAAAACGATCGGGTGTTAACTACGTTTATATTGGTTGTGAAATAAGATGTCGAACAAATAATGAATTATTATGGCCAATATTTTCTCGAATACAAGTACAATTAAGACGTTTAACTATGTCACATGAATTTCAACAACAATATAAAAATGAAGATATTGAATTATATCAATCGAGGTAAAAGAAAAAATTAATATTTAACTTAGTTTTATTATTATTTTATTTCTTCTTCTTCTCGTCTAGATGTGGCTCAAAATTAATATGTGGTATGATTGAATTATTATTTACTGCAAATCATCCTACTCATTTAGAATTAAAATCTCGTGGACAACCTAATGAACGTGAAAATATATTCTATTTATTTCATGAAATTTTAACATTAATTGAACAGACGTATTTACATACGTGTCCATCTCTTCAATTAGAATATCATTACATCTCGACAAAACATTTACAGTTAAATTTAACACCACTTTTAAATTTATTCTATCAAAATAGTGAAGTTATATCCAAACGACCACTTCAGATGAGTACATCATCAATATTTATAACTGATCAAAATTTACCATCTCCCACAATGTCAACATATTCTTTACCATTCGCGTCTAATAATAATGATACAATTTTCAATACTATTAATCAATTTACATCGCCATTCTATTACACATTTTCACCAAAATCAATTATTCAAATACAAATGAACAAGTCGCATGAAGATAATTCGATACAGGTAAGAAACATTTGTACATCTAGTTAATGCGAAATCTAATATCTATTTGTGTTCTAAGAGTATTTTTAGATTGATCTATAAGAATCTAGTCGCATGAAGATTGACCTTAAATTTTCATCTGAACAAATTATGACACCATCAGATTGTAGAGCATATGTAAAAAATTTTAAACTACTAAACACGTTTAAAACTTAGTTTTGAATTCAAAAAAAAAGATAGAACTTTTTAATTTTTATATTTTTCCGTCGTACTACTATGACTATGGACTACAAGTGTGGCAAATTTGAAATTAAAACTCGAAAGTAGGATTTTGCTCGAAATCCAAGCTCTATAGGAAAAAACTTACTAAAAATTCAGTATCTCAGCAACAAAGCACCATGGGGGTGAACCAAGTTGAGGTATTTCACTACTCGTTAGAGCCTTTCTAACAAAAATAATCCCAATCCGAAATCGATTTATAACCTCGGGTGGCTCCCTCGTTAGAACACAAACAGATATTAGATTCCGAATCAGCGTCAAAAAGTACCATAGATGAAAATGTACATTTGAGTGGAAAAGTAATTGGACAAGTGGAATAGTTCCATCGTTAGTCGAATTATTGTACTGCAGCATTGTAATTTATCTGTTCTAAGATATTCAGGCATGGACATAAACAGTTTTCCATTTCTTCAAGTATAAAATAAATTATCTTTTATCATTCGCCAATAAAACCTATTTTTTCAGTCTTTTCCGCACAGGTTTAAAACTTGACATTTAAAGTTATGTTTGTTGTTGTCGATGTTATTACTAGTTCTTTTCACTCTTTTACTTCATTCAATAAATGTGTTGAATTATCTTCTAGGTCTTTGTATATTTCTATCATTTTTTAAAAAAAGTTCACAATTTGTTTGTGTACTTACATAATTCTATAGCAAGTTCTTTTTTCTAATTTTAATATCAATATCTAATAAAAGAAATAGTGTATAGGCGTCAGTATACGACCTGTGTCCTAGTCCCATTCTCATCAACAAGTTTAAAATGTCAGAGTATCGTGAACTGACAATTAGCTGCTTTTCAAAAATATAATTTTTAAAATGTAATCTACAAGCTAAAATAAAGAAAAAGGAGTAACTTTAACCTATGAACATTTAAGCATGGCATGGATTCTTCTTGAGTGAACTCTCTACAGTTGTACAAGAAATAAGATTGTCTATTGCGTTTTCATAAAAACTATTGCAGAATAAAATATTTATCTTAGATAATATTTTACAAAAATTAATATTTGTTTGAAGATACGAAATTAATTTCCGAGTGTATTTATTCCGTATCAGAACATTAAACTCATTTACATATTTAAAGACGTAAGAATAGTAAATTAATTTCCTGTACACAAGTGTTTATATAAACATTTAAACCAGTATGTTTCTTAATTTGTTTGATGAGTACATCCTTCATAGTATCTTGTACTTTTAATATTTTATTTAAAAAAGTTCATTATTTTTATATTATCTCACTTTTACTTTGATTCTTTTCTTTTTAGCCAGTAACCGATGCAAATAATAATAGAAAGAGTATCTTGAATGATCATCATCAAATTGAAAGTCCAGACGATGATTCATCATCATTATTAATTAAAGATACTACTGGAGAATATCAAGAAGATCTTATTGATTTAATTTGTTGTGGTTCTTATGATCTTTATTCTAATTTAGAAATGGGTGTTGATTTATCTATATCAACATTATCTCTAGTTACTCGTCAATTATTATGTCGTCTATTTGATAAACAAGATTCAATAGGTCGTGATTGGTGTCTATTAGCTATTGCTTTATCTATGCAACATTTAATACCATTATTAGATACGGAAGATTTATATAAATCAAAAACTGAACAATTACTCGATGAACTCTGTCGAAAACGGTCAACAGATGCGAATATTAAATATTTATTAGAAAAATTTCTTGATATTGATAGAAAAGATGCTTATGATCTTGTAGCCTATACATGTCCACTATTTAAATTACCACAAATTCAACCTGTCACAGATCAAATAACGGATCCACATGATAGCCACGATAGTGGAATACAAAATTCAACAAATACAATAGCGAGTATTAACAGATAATTAGAGAACAAAAAATATCTCATACTCTACCGGTTTTTAAATCTATTTGATCATCTAGACGATTAATATGAAAAATTTGTGAATATTATAGATCTGAACAAATTGTTGAATCTCTTTCATTAGTACTGTTAATTTTTTTTTCGAAACATTGAAAGATGAATATTTTTGAAAATGTCGAACAAATGTGTTTTATTTTATCGAAGAAAAGGAGGTTCAGTCTCATTTTTATACATTATTGACACATCGTGCTACAAAATATTGATCTTTTCTTCTATATTATCATTTCTCATAAGTAAGTATCGTCTGCTGCATACATACACATGGCCATTTTGATCATATCAAGACAATACAACAGTATACTTCTTTTTTTTTTTCTCTTTCTTACACCGACTCGTTAGAATAATACATCATGACACTTCTGTTTTGTACAAATTTCCCGATGACTATGCATTTTTTTATTTTTTTTATTTTTTATTACTTTGAATCTATTTACGTATTGTTAAATGGACTGTTCACAAACTATAGGCGGATGATAGACTCATTTGTGTTTTTTTTTTGTTTTTTTTCTTGTGATAATAAAATTACGTATTTGTGTTTTTTTTTCTGTTTTTGTTTTAGCGTCATTTCTATTTCTAATTTGTACCTGTTTTTTTTGTAATCAATTTTAACTTTTGGTTGTATTTTACCTATAAGTATATATTACATATACAGACAATCTGAAGAAAAATAATTTACTTATAGAACGTATAGTTTTTACTAGTTATTTTTTGATATTTAATCTAGTAATTGATAACTGATTGGGTGTAGACGAACAAACAAGACATTGTTCAAGAAGCATACACTTTTGATTGATGAAAATATGAATGAGATACTAATGAGAATTCTAGTGTAACCATAAAGAAGAATGAAATGATACTCAACATTTTCAGTCAATAATATCATCTTTCTTCTCTGTTCATAGTGAGTTAAAAGTATGTATTTTCTGTATGAAAGCAATGGACTGAGTGAGATAAAACTAATTTACTCGTACTGTCTACAAGTGGTTTGTTTCTTGCCGGTTTGTGCACAGATCTCACCTAGTCATACAATTATTTTTAGATATTTCAACTTCTCTTATTTATCCTGAAAATTAATTGTACATGATTGTTTGTCTATAACGGTCGATTACTCGCATTATAAGACAGAAACACTTTACATCTCAAAGTAGTGAATTTTTCTTGAAATTTTAGTCTCATTTCAAGATTGTTACTAAAATGTACATTTGAGAATGTGTTGATTAGCTAAAATTTTTTTAAAATGTGTGTGTGTGTGTCATGTTTAACATTTTTTGTACTTCTTAATTTTGTTGTTCTAGAAAATCAAAAGTATTTGGAAAAATGGGATGTATCAATTAATATTATACAAATATCGAGTATAAGTAAGATGATAATTTAATTTAACGATCATATCTTATCTATATTGTATTTTCAGACTCCCGATAAAGTTATTTGAATTGTATTCTGTTGGTTTTTTCGTCTAAATTGACAGAATATCGAAACGATAGATGATTTACCAAGTAGTTTTAGAAAAGTATAGGTGTCTATTTTGAACGATAGCCAATATATACGTTACAAGTTATAGATCTTGATTTTGAGAATGAGATTTTTCAATAAACATAAATATTCTTATTGAAACAGATCGTATTATGATAGAAATTGTACTTCAAACAGATAATGATAATCATTTGTATTTTATCAGTGACAATTATTTGCAGAAGTAGTGAAAAATAAACTGCCTTTACAATAAAGTTCCAATGAGTTGTTCAAACAAACATTAAGAACAGTTGGTTGATCAAATTTATCGTTTTATTGAAAAAATAAATAATAAATTTAATCGATAATATTACTCTGTTGGAAGAAAGATGATGAGCTATTAAATTTTTTCGATAATGAATCACAAATTATTATGGCATTCTTGAAAAAATGAAAATATTAATGCGGCCGTCGAATATAAATTCAAAGATGCTTGATTATTCTATAATTGAATCAAAGGGAAGTTTATACCATAGTTGAAATGAATAAAAAGTAAAAAATAAGTGAATCATAGAAATTGACTATTGTAGTCGCACTATGGAAGGAAAAAATGGTGAAAATATGTTTTAACTAATTTTTAGCTAGAAAATGTAAACAATGTCACAAAAGATTTGTTACCAATGAGTTAATTAAATCATCTTTGCACAAAAAATACTTTTTCCTAACACTGTTATTCTAGTGTGATAATCGATCTTTTTTATCTTTTTGCAATAAAATTTATAGTCAGAAACAATATTATTCATAACTATAGATTTTTTAGATGTATATTTTGGAATAAAAATTTCAACATTTTTTATTCCCGTCTCTCATTAACATTTATCGGATAGTTTTTAGATTAACCTTGTGCAGAAATGAGAACTAGTTACGGTGTGACAGATGATGCAAAAGCACTTTTCTTAGAACTGTTTGATTTTCACGTAATACAGTTATGAATGATATGAAATTTAGAGTATAAAATCGGATGGTCGGTTTCAAGACTGCACAAATTGTGACTTTTCTACTGCTATTAATGAAGAAGAAAGTCACTGAACTCTTTATATGAATCATATTTCAATTACGATGAAGCCATGTTTACATATGTTTATTTCATCTTAATTTTGTTTCTTGTAAATCTGAATGGGTTGGTGTGTCACGTCGCTATTATGTATCAACAACTTTAGTTAGAATTGTAAAGAAAAACAATATTGATATGAAATATGTACATTGTATTAGTACGAAAACCGTCGAAATTATTTTTAAGATTTCTTTTTGTTTTGAGTAATCTTGAAAAAAAGCGATGCTATTTTGTTTAACACGTATATAAGAAAGACGGTGCAATGTTTGTGGTCGGTCGACCTTCGAAGGAAACGTTCGCTATCCTATTCTGTACAGCAGCGTAGAATGGAGTTTTTCACTTGATATAAGTGCGGATAATGATTCGAACGAAAACAAGATGACAGTGTGCATAGCTTTAATTATGCAATTAAGCTTTTTTAACTCGTCATATTTGCTAGTGTCTCACACATGAAGATGTGTATAATTCATGGTTTTTGGTCATAATGATCACGAAAAATTTTCTCAAAATCTTTACGCAATTTTTACCCAGAGAAGAAGTATTTCCGAGTTAATAGCGCACGATCCTCATTGGTAGTTAATTGTTTGTGAGAGAAAAGGATAAACTATTATAGCTGAAATGAGTGAAAAAAATTCAAGAAAAACTTTTCAGATAAAAACTTGTGAAGAATTTTTTCTGTTATGTTTCTTACTTTAAGTGATCGTGACTATGACAGTCATGCACATCTCTACTTATACGTCAGTTTTCTATTGCGCTCAAAGTCGTTAATTAAGTTATGACAAACGCAGAGAAATTCTCTCAGTCGTTCACTTTTTCATTGAAAAACACCATCCTGTATGTAGAGCGGGCTGTTTACCATTACTGTTACTAGTAATTAGTAACAACAGATGCTAGTTTGTTACTTTGTTACTAGTAACAAGTAACGTAGTTAACAAAGTAACAAAGATTTGTTACTTTTGCTTGATAACGTAACAAAGAACAAACTTATTTTTAGAAAACAGGTGTTTTTGAAATTTTAGGTTTTGAAAAATTTTCGAATTTTAAGTTTTTGAAAAACTTTTGAATTGTATCAGATGACTTTTGAGTTATGACTCTTCCCATAACGTGATGTAAAGCTAACAAATATTTCCAGATGCCTCTTTACCAGTAGGGCTGATTCATTACTTATTACTCGATGTTACTTTATCCAGTAAAGTAACAAAAATTTGTTACTTTAAAAACACCGAGTAGTAAGTACAGAGCCACCCCTACCTGTATGTACATAGTGTACGTACCAAATTTTAAATTTGGTGAGTTTTGTCGACAATTATTTTGAAATACATTTATAAAGATCGAAAAGTTAAGCAAGATGAAGAAAACATAGTTTAAGATAGGTGAATCCATTAACGTTTTAAAAGTTTTTTATCATCTTTTTGATATTCTCATTCAAGATGATTTTATCGTTCGTGATATTTTGATATAAGCTGTACTAATTCAAAACAAGAATACCTTCTTTAAGCAAACATGAGAATAACGTATACATCTTCAGTTTGCATGTCATCAAGTAAAGTATTTATATTAAATATATTTATTTCCATTTTTTCGTGCATGCTAATTATAATTACTTACTCGGAAAATTTACTCTATCTAAGAATCTTCCCTTTAATATTTTTTTGTTGTGGCTTGTTCTTGGAAAAAGGCATTTTTCAAGTATTTCTTCTATTCACTTGATTATTTTTCAACCGGAATGGTGCCTGTTTGCTTGAGTCAATATATTTATCTCATTCTTTTTTTTACTGTTTAAGAACGTCTTGTTGTGCGTGACACGAGCATTTATTCAAAATTCACTTGTGGTTATTATGAGAATAACAAAATCTTTTGTTACATTTTTTTCTTTTAAAAAGGAAAATGTTGTTTTTTTACCACGCTAGTCATTTATACAATTCAGAGCATTCATAAACTACGCATAATATTAACAAATCTTGTCAAACAACAAAAATTGGTGATAGTTCTGAAATGGGATATATCTTTCATTTTTAAACCTTGAAACAGAATCACCTGATCAGGACATAAATGATTCACAAAAAATAGTAGTTATTCAGTTTACTTGTTCATAGAAGAAAAAAAAAAGAATAGAAAAGAATAGGCAAAATATTTTTGTATTTTGCATTTTTTTCTCTCTCTGCTATGTGACTTTTAGCTAAATGACAAAGTACTTGTAAAAATAAAAACAAGGAAACAACACCTTTTTCTTCTATGTTGAAAAGAAGTAGCGCAGACTGCTGCACAAATTATAACTGATGAAACAAGAGAAGTAAAATTATTTTTATGCATGCGTCTTTAATTTTATTTGAATAGCAGCATCTGTGTAGATATACATGACTACTTCTTAATTGACTACCACTATTTTTAGCCCTCACTCTCACTTGACTTGCCGTCTGATGTTAATTAAGATTTTCTAATTGAGACTACTTTTTGACAAAAAGTGGTCTCAATTTGGAAGAATCGATATACATCGTTTATTTCTGACTGTTTTCTGAAACATCCAGGAAAGACATGAACAGTTACATAACTGATGATCAGTTATCATACACAGTTATGATATTCTAGATTGCTCATATTTGCATCATAATTAAGTTTAACCATTTTTTTTTCTTCACACAAATGTATAGAGCAACCATTTGTCTACAAGATGAGACGTTCCGCAGCTCGAGACGACTCTTAATAACCGCGTTATACTAATTTTTCTAGATATTTTAATACCCGTTACATAACTGATACGGTATACTGATTCTGAGGGGCGTGACACTAGGGCGTCCAAGTGTCGCGTAGGACGCAATGACAGTAGGGCACAAACGACATTTAGGTGCACTATGTATTACATGACAGTTGGACGCAACGACATGTGGGGACAGCTGGCACAGTTGGACTTCAAAGGTGAGGGTGTGGGTGTGGGTGGTTATTAATAAAGGCTAAATAAACAGTAAGGATATGAGTTGTGAAATAATATAGAGAAAGCTCTCAGACCGTACCAGGTTTGTTTAAAAGAAAATTTTATAGTCATGCATCATACTTTTAACAAATGCATTATTACTGAATGCTTGTACCGTACATGCGCTCTACTGTCGTTGCGCCCAAGCGTCCGGTAATTAACTGATATATTCTTAAAACTATATAGAGTTTGGCCTGATGCTCGTGTTTCGAAAAGTAGTAGAATATTTTATTTTATTTCCAAACTATGCATTACTTTTTTTTCGATTAATGTCATAATTTTGATGTTATTCCTTTGTTGATTCTCTATTTTTTTTGGCCAAGAAATAGTTTTTACTTCTGTTTAATTTTTATCCTTCTGCTTTTAGATATACATATAATTTTATATTTTATGTATTTTATGAAGCCTCGTGGCCAAGAGTTCAATCGTCGAAGTCGTTCATTTAGTCGTACTCGTACAGCAATTCATACTTGTTATTTGAACATTCAGTAATTTTAACTCATCGACTTTTATATCTCATATTTTCTCATTCCCACCGCACGATCAAATATTTTAAATTTTTTTATTATTATTTAACACGGTTAATTGAATTTTATGAATTAAACCGGTGTAAACACATTTTCTCCTTTACTTTTAAACTTTTTTATTGTTTTCTAAAAACAAAAGAAGATCATGTTTGTTAAGCCTGAATTATTTCATGATACTGTGGATAATCCCACACCAATTTATTTAGTAATGATGTTTATTTTGGGACCATTGGTATGTAGTCGACGAGTGAAAGCGCGCGCCAATGCTGTTAGACAAAAAATAGGTAGAGGAGTAAAACGAACAATGTCGCGTTCAATGAGTGGTATTGTTTGGTCAGCAAAAAAAGTGACAACTGGTGGACTACATGTGGGAAAAACATTGGTGAAAAAACCAAGGGGATTGATTAAAATTAAGAAACCAAAAGCACCATCAAGAGTACGTAAACATATTGATAACACAATAAAAGACTCTCAAAGAGCTTATGAGATGAAAAACGCATCAATTCTATTTGTTATTTTTAGGTATCTCTTTATAAATTATTACCATTGAAATTGGTTAGTCGTATATTTGGATGGATTTGTCGTTTATATTTACCAGTATGGTTACGTCCATTATGTTTTAAATTTTATATCAAATTATTTAAATGTCGTGCAAATGAAATGTTCAATGAAGATTTAACAAGTTATAAGACAATATCAGAATTTTTTCGTCGAAAAATTAAATTAAATTTACGACCAATTGATACAAGTGCACTATTGGTTTCACCATGCGATGGAAAAGTGTTAACTTGTGGACGAGTATCCAGTGGTCTTATTGAACAAGTAAAAGGTATAACATATACAGCACAAACATTTCTTGGTTGTCCACTAACAAAAGACGATCATACACCACATACTTATGCTGAATCATTATTAAAATATCGTGGACATGAATTACATTATTGTGTAATCTATTTGGCTCCCGGTGATTATCATAGATTTCATAGTCCAACAGAATGGTAAGATAATTTTAGTCTTCATTGTCGTTCTTTAAAATTTGAATGTTTTTTTTTTACTAGGCAAATTAGTTGGCGAAGACATTACATTGGCCATTTATTTTCTGTTAATCCGTATGTGGCAGGTTGGCTACAAGATTTGTTTTGTTTGAATGAACGTGCAGCTTATTATGGTTCATGGACACACGGTTTCTTTTCCATGACAGCTGTTGGTGCAACGATAGTTGGATGCATTAATGTTCATTTTGATCCTGTATGTATTACTTATTGTTGTTCATACGTTTTAGTTCTATTTCTATCCATTTAGGAATTAAAAACAAATAATCGTCTTAGTCCTTTTGAATTAGAACGACGTTTTCAAACATCCGAAAATTCCAATGGTATTTTATTATCACGTGGTGATAATTTTGGTGATTTTGATTTTGGTTCAACAATTGTTCTTGTATTTGAAGCACCCGATAATTTAGTTTTTAATGTAAAACCTGGTTGTCACGTTAAACTTGGTGAACCATTATGTTTTTTTGATAAAAATTTGAAAACAGTTGATAGTTTATTATCAGATTTGTCAACAGTGACCACTGAAGTGAGTACATCGGAATACGAAGAAGAGGAACAAGAAAATGAATTGATGAAAAAAAATGTAAATGTAGCAGCGGTAATAAAAGAAGATAGTGATATTATAGCACAAACCTTTAAATCAGATGAATAATAGATATTTAAAGAATCATTCGAGCTATTCTCAGTGTCCATATAATTAATGACAAATATCTAGTAAGATATTATCAGACGTTTTAGCATTTGTTCCAATTTTTTTTATCAATATTGTTTTATTTAATGTATAAGACTTTTGTCTTTGTCTGTTTTTGTAAATAAAAAATGAATTTTTTGTTGTTATTAGTCTCAACGATGGTATTACTTGTTTGTAACGTGAAAATTCAAAATACTGCGCATAGATAAACCAAAGCTTGACCGTTTTAATCACTGCTAGTTACAGTTTACTTTTTAACAATAGGAAATAAAAATCGATGATTTTTGCTAATCGATAGAGAGGATCGAAACAAAAGTGAAAATACATGCTGAACATGATGTCGCTGTTTCCTTTTGGGAAAAAATCTAATGACAGTTGAGTATGATAAAAACTACGATTTTCAGATTGTTTTCATCTAATGTTTTAAATATTTATAACTCTCTCAAAGTGCATGAGAATGACCTGAAAATTTTCGGATGGATGATATTTAGACTATTCTATATTCTATTGTTAACAAATGTACTAAAACATTTTTTTACAAAAATGTATGGTCATCTAGAAATCTTTTGATCAAAAAAAAGTTTTCTTTTTTTCAGTTTTTTCGATCCTATAACTACGTTAAATGGATAAAATTAACCATATTCCTCAGTTTTTAGTTCTATGTATGTATTTTGGATCAGTTATATTTGGAATACAGATTCTTTAGTTCAAACTTTCCTCAACTGTCAGTGTTTTTTTTTAATGATTATCGTGTGCTGAAGCATTATCATTATTTAATATATCATTTCCGATTGATGCATTTAAAACCGTCGCTCTTTCACACATAAAATTGTAGAATCAAAAAAAGCGTAAGTCTAAGGAGAAGCGAGAAAGTTAATAAGCGGAAGCCTAAAGGGGTTGACGGAAAACATGGAATGGAAAAACGTTGAAAAGGAAAATGTCGATAAAAAAGAGGCATTTTATTAAATCACATAGAGAAAGAGAGTAGAAGAGGAATGATAAGACCAATAGATCGTGATCTAATTTTTCGTTTATTCGGATCAACAACGATAATCCAGCCAGTAGCTGTTTTGCATTGATTTCTCTATTCAGAAATCATCCATTGAGTGTGTCAAATCATTGTTGAAAAGCTGCTGTATCTCCTGAGCGCTTTGGAGCTGATACCCCTGCACCAAGTTGCATAGTGATGCGTTAAGTGGGTGAAGTGAGGGTGAGACATTGATCGTAGCAGGCATACTGAACTTCATCATACTTTATTTTTTAATTGCTACGAGGTTGAGAAAGGCGTACTAGTCTGACGAGAACCAATAATAGTTCTAATGATAAAAATACGTATATCTCTTTCAGTGATTTTCAAGGAATAGAAAGGAATCTTCTCCTTTTCGATATTTTCCTTCTTCCCATTATCTACTTTCGACGTTTTCCTTTTCGACGTTTTGCTCTTTTTTTATTGACATTTTCCTTTTCAACATTTTGCACCAAGATCAGCCTAAAATCATTTTATTTCTGAGGAATAACATATGTATGGATCAGACTCTCGCCTATTTATCGATGTATAAATTTTCCTAAAAGTCATCAATTTCGATTAGTATTCATCATTCTAAAATTTACTCATGAATCCAAAGTATCAGATCTTAGAACCTAAAAACAGTCACATACGGCGTCACATTCAAAATCAATTTTTCTTTTACATTTCTCGATGGTTGTGCTAATTCGCTTAAAACTTTATCGACTTTTATCCTTGTCTATCGACGTCTCAGTCAAAAATGACGACTTTTTTCTGCTTGGGGCTTCAGTTCAAAATGAAAAAAATCTTAAAATGGATCTTCGGATACTCTGAAACCTTTTCTTCGAAATTTTATTCTTATAAATCTTTCAAAAGCCGCAACAAAAAATCTTTTATGTATTTGACGCTTTTTCTTCTGTAGGCGTGACTAACTTTTTGGAAACAGGTGAAAAAATAACGATTGCCACGGGGAGAAGAGCGAACACGCATTTAAAAGAGACTGGAAAAATACAGACGTGTATAAAATAAAATACGGCACCTGCATGTCTCCTGGGATGGTAAAAATCGTTTTCCAGAGGGATAGAGCTTAAACTACAAATGATATAAAAACGAATTATATATCAAATCAATACTTATTTATAACGGAATTGATAGATATAATTAATAAGCAGTATGTCGATCGTTGCCTTCTTTTATACAATCATCTTGCGTTTGATTTTGACACTCATCAATTAGTTATTTAACGTTTGTCAGAACCGCACGATTCTGGTTGGTATATGCTTTTGTATTCGAATGTTAAAACTTTGAGAAGTTCTCTTCAATATGATGATACTCCAATTTTATTTTACAGCGTGAATATCGAAAAGTTGGCTGAGGAAATAAAAGGTTTCAATCGTGCTTCCTGTCAATGTTCTTATCCTGATATCCAAGTAGATCAGCTTTCATTCCTCGATTACACATCGCTATCAGATGTTCATTTAGCAATTGGAAAAAGCAAAGGTTATGCCTTTGTATTTGCTACATATCAAAGAATCGGCCCTCTTTAAATCTGTAAGCTACTTATAGATTTTTTAAAAAACTTTACTTTTTTGATCGTGTAAATTTAGTCGTATTCAATTTTTTAGTTTCGTGTATTTTTTCTCTCCTTTCCTACATATTCAAAGTTTTTTCTTATAAATAGGATGCTAGAAGAAAGTGTGCTCTTCAAAATGAGACATCTTTTAGAATTTACCGATGAGTTTTCGTGGAGATATAAGAATTACCACAAATGCCCTAAAAAATAGAGCCTGTGTACAATTTTTCTCACTATGCGTTTTTTCGACAGTTCCTTTAATCGGATCACGGTTACGACCCCTCAAAAAAATGCTTCGATCGAGCTGAAATTTTTACCACAAATATTTCAGATCCTATTCCAGGTTCGTTTTTTTAAGCGTTTTCGATTTCAGCTGTCGGCGTGCGAAGGTTTTTAAAATAAAAAATCAGTTTTTTTATACAGGATTTTTAGTATTTTTCGAATATCTCAAGAACAAAAGCGTATTTTTCGAAAAGAAAAGAAACCGAACCTGGGATGGGTCTGAAGTACCTGTGATAAAATTTTCACCTTAGTCGGACTATTTTTTCGAGAGGTGGTAGTGTGACCTGATGAAAACTAGAGTTTTTCAGAAAACCCATTGAAGAACATGTCAGAAAACTCAGGACAAAAATACATCGTTTTTCTTTTTCGATGTTCTATGTCTGATATAAATTTCACCCCAAGCATCGGCTTCTTCCGTTTTCAAGAGGGTAAAACAGAGAGGGGCGTACCCTTAATGAGTTAAACTCTAATTCTACTTTCAATAAATTTCATTTTTTCTATCCGTTAAAATGATAGGGTGGACTTTTTTCTTTTTCTTTTCTCTTTTTTCGAATGAAAACTAAAAGCGTTATTTTACGATGATCTGAAGAAGAATAGAAAATGAACGAAATTTGAGAGTGTTAGCAAATGATATCTAATCATAAACACTTTTTCTTTGATGAAAATTTAACACATAGACAGACAGACATATATTCAATATGCCACTTGACCCTGCAGACTTGTTATGCAACAGAAAAATCTGTGCGGTGAAATTGAGCTGTCACCACGAGATATGTCACAAACTAGTGAAACATAATATACTCACAGCAATTTCTGACCGTTTCTTTTTCTTATTATGTTGAGTACGGTACAAAATTAAATAATCAATAAAACTCTTATGCTTTGCTACCTTGAACTATCGTAGAGATTGTCAGAGTGGATAGAAATAACAGATTTTCCATTTTTCTTCGTCTTCGTTTGAAGTTTCCAACGACAGGAAAGCAAATGGATGTATGAAATTAAAAGATGTGTTTGCTAAAAAAGAAAAATTTGACTTTAGCTATGTTCAAATCAAACTATCATTTGATTGTTCGAATTGTTGATTTCTTCTATATTCACCAGCTTATCATGTGTGAATAAATGCATTTTTTCCTAGGTTTTTGATTGAGCGTTTTATGCACTATGTAACATAGACTTGTCTGCAAGCATAGCTGCGTTTGTTTGTTGAAGTTAAACACAACTATTTTTAATAAACAAGAACACGTTTAAAATAAATGCATGAGTGTAACTCGATCTTCAAAGCAGAATGGATGAGGATAAAAAACTTATCCACCTGTTGCCTGAGTTCGTTTTAAAATCTGACTTGGTAAAGGAGCGGTTTTGCATTTTAAAAAACATTTTGCTGGAAGAAAAACAAAAGTCTTAAAAAGTAGAATGGGAGTTAATCACATCCATTTTCTACGTCCCTAAGTACGCATTGCAATTATGGAGTACAAGCCATGCAGATAGTATAAACAGTGTTTAATTAAATCAACAGCTAAGTTATGATTTGCACAAACGAAGCTTAACAAATGATTATTTTTGTGAGTGTGGAGAGATTGAGATCATTGAACACTATATACTGCATTGCCCATCTTATCAAAATGAGCGGAATATTTTATTTAGTCAAATAGCCACTTTTTTGCCAAATACAATTGTTACTCTTCCCCTACTACTACTCAAAGTTTTTTCTT